CAATTCATCCCTATCAATCCATTGCACAGTCCCTGTTCCATTAAGGAATCCAAAAAAACCTTCCAGCTCTCTGATGGTTAGGACATACTCCTGATCATGGATAGTGAAGGTGATGTATCCCAATCCTCCATCTGACTCTATGTCCGGATCATCCTCATAAAGATGTATGGCAAGCGTACAAAGGAACTGAATTGTCTCCTCTCGGTATGCGTTTCACGGACTAGTCATGAGGGTGCTGAGATGACAATGCTCGAACATATACTCGACATCACTCGAGATAGCCAGCTCATCCATCGTCTGCTGGCAAGGATACCTTGTGCCCTGAAACTCATGCTGCTGAAACAGGTTGTAATACTCTCCCGGGGCTAACCACTTCTCTGTCTTCTTCTTCTGCACTGACTTGCGAGCTGGGACAGGTGGATGCTCTTCAAGCTCATAATCACTGTCATCATCCTGCAACTCCATTGGTTTCTTACCCGAAGACTTAGCTCTGCTTCTTGCCTGAGAAGGACCAACACCAGACACTCTCTGATATGCAGCTTTCTTTTTCTCCATATAGACCTTGGACATAGACTTAGGAGATGCACGCTCTGTTGGTTTACAACCATACTTCTCACGCATTTCATGCAACAAATCTCTTGACATTGTTAAACTGAAACAGTTGAAACTCAAAGCTAAAAATTATCTTGTTAGTGTACCAAATATCAAGATAAAATAGCCAATTTATATAGAGAAATGCAAAGGGAAGTAACACTTAGCAAATTTATCACTTTTACACTTCTCGGCCGAGTGAGCTATCCAAGGCAAACGCGCGTCGAGTGAGAGGTGGAGATGGTATGATCGCGTGAAGCAAAATCCGAGTATCTGTCGGAGAACTATCCGCTGGTCGAGTGGATGTGGCGCGTGAGCTTCGCTGGGCGAGTAAAGATCTTCACCGTCGAGTGTATGCTGAGTGAGCTCCAAGTAACCGCCGGTTGAGTGACTACTCGAGTGACACAGGACGAGTGGCAGCACGCGCGTGAGAGAAATTTGCTGGTCTTGTGGGAGCAGACGGTGGTGAAGGGGGTCGAGTAAGGAGCTGAGTGAACTCGACCGCGTCGAGTGAGGTATGGAGTGGTGAGCTGCTACACTCGCGTGTATCTGGTGAGGTTGGTAGGTGGCGAAGAGATACTCGATGGAACTAAACCAGAGATGCGTGCATCGTGTTGGCCATTGGTGAGGTCGTGCGAAAAGCTTCACCGTCGAGTGTTGAGGATGCGCTGGTCGACTGGTTCGATGGTGAAGTGCGTCAAGTGAGGCGAGTTGGTCGAGTATCTACGGTCGAATGAGTGTCCAGTAGGTCGAGTGAAAGAATGCACAACCAAGTGAATACGGCTGCACAAGAGCTAGCTCGAGTAGCCGAGAGAAGAAGGCTGTCGAGTGGTTGTTGAGGACACGGCGGTCGAGTAACGGTGAAAGACGAGTGAGTCTCGTGTGGAATAGTCTCGAGTAGAAGATGAGTCGAGTGTAAGAGATGAGAGAATCGAAGTCGGATAAGAGGAATGAGAGAGAGAGTGTGTGGTCGAGTGAGAGAGATGAGAGAGTGAGGTGAAGATAGGGTACGAGTGGTTGCGGATCGAGTGAGAGATATGTTGGGTCGAGTGGGGTTTTTTTTTTTTTTTATTTTTTTGCAAAAACATCTCTACCCACCATCTCTCTGAACTATGTTTGATACTTCATCTCCTGCTCACTTCGTTCATTTTACCCACCGTCTCAGTTCTCTCATCTCCTTAAAGTCCTGAACAACACAAAATCAAAAACAAAAATTAAAAACACAAAAAATCCTAAGCAATATGTACAAGGATACCTTTGGGACTTCCTCCCAAGTGAGCTTGTTTAAAGTCACTAAGCTCGACTGTTTATGCTTTTTAGGCTTTGGGGGGCTCATAGAGAGGCATGGAGGACCCCTCTGGTGTGTCTTGATCAGCTAGGTAACGCTTGACACGTTGACCATTCACAGTGAACTCGCTGCCATCCTTGTTCATGAGAGTGATCGCACCGAATGGCAAAACATCTTTGACCTCAAATGGTCCAGACCATCTGGACTTGAGCTTTCCAGGAAACAGTTTCAGTCTGGAATTGAACAGCAAGACGTGATCTCCAGCCTTAAGCTCCTTAACGACAATCCTCTTATGAGAAGCTTGATAGCACAAAGCGCCTTATAATCAATCTCCACAGGGAGATGATATGCTTTACCATACACCAACTGAAAGGGCGTCGTTCCTATGGGTGTCTTGAAAGCTGTTCTGTACGCCCATAGAGTATCATCCAACTTGATAGACCAATCTTTCTTCGAAGCCCCAACAACTCTTGATAAAATTCCTTTTATCTGCTTGTTAGAAACCTCTACTTGTCCACATGTCTGGGGATGGTAGGCTGTAGATACCTTATGCTTCACACCATACTTCTTCAACATGCTTTCAAAAACCTTGTTGATGAAATGTGTACCACCATCACTGATCACTGCTCTCGGTACGCCATACCTGGGAAAGATGATGCTCTTAAACAGTTTCAGAACAACCTTGTGATCGTTGGTAGGACTCGCAATGGCTTCAACCCATTTTGAGACATAATCAACTGCAACCAGAATGTAGACGTTGCCATTTGATGGAGGGTTAAACGGTCCCATGAAATCAATTCCCCAAACATCAAAAATTTCCACTTCCAAAATCGGGTTCTGAGGCATCTCATTCCTTCTGTTGATGTTACCCATCCTCTGGCAGGCGTCACACTTGGTGATGAAACTGTTTGTATCCTTAAACAATGTTGGCCACCAAAGGCCTGCTTGCAGACCCTTCTGAACTGTTTTGAATGTAGCAAAGTGTCCTCCATATGCGGATCAATGACAGTGCTCAAGCACTCCCTGCACTTCCCCTTCTGCTATGCATCTCCTAAACAACCCATCTGAACCCCTCTTGTACAGGTAAGGTTCATCACAGAAGTAGTGGTTGAGATCTCTGAAAAACTTCTTTTTCCTATAAGGATCCATGTCTGCAGGAATCTCTCCACAGACCTTGTAGTTCACCACATCCGCATACCAGGGCATACTCTCTGAATTGACTGCTAGACATTGAACCTCCTTCATAGCCATTCCCGTTTGATGCATCTTCTGGCATATTTCAACAACCATAAGATGTTGTTCAGGCATAGAGTCATCAATAGGGATTGGATCTTCTATTCTCATTCTGAACAGGTGATCAGCAACGCCGTTCTCTATCCCGTTCTTGTCAACAATCTCCATACCAAACTCCTGGAGTAGAAGTATCCATCTCAGCAGTCTCGGTTTGGTATCCTTCTTGGAGTATATATGCCTAAGTGCATCATGGTCTGTGTAAACTACCACTTTTGATCCCACCAAGTAACTTCTGAATTTCTCGAACGCAAAGACTACAGCCAAGAGCTCTTTCTCTGTTGTTGCATACCTCCCTTGTGTCTCATCAAGGGTTCTGCTCGCATAGTAGATGACATGCAGTTTCTTCTCTATTCGCTGCCCCAACACAGCCCCTACTGCATAATCTGAGGCATCACACATTATCTCAAAAGGATGATCCCAGTCTGAAGCTTGGACTATTGGTGCTGAGACTAACGCTTCCTTGATCTTGTTGAAAACTTCCAGACAGCTCTCATCAACGACAAACTCGACCTCCTTGCACAGTAGTCTTTTAAGGGGTCTTGCAATTTTTGAGAAGTCCTTGATGAATCTTTTGTAAAACCCAGCATGCCCAAGGAAACTCCTTATATCCTTGACTGACTTGGGAGGCTGCAACTGTACCGTGACCTCAATCTTTGCCTTATCAACCTCAATCCCCTTCTCTGATATCTTGTGTCCCAACACTATCCTTTCGTTCACCATGAAGTGGCACTTCTCCCAATTGAGCACTAGGCTTGTCTCCTCACATCTTGCTAATACCCTGCAGAGATTCAACAAACATGAGGAGAAGGAGGAGCCATACACGGAAAAATCATCAATGAATACCTCCACCATCTCATCTATCAAATCCGAGAATATAGAGGTCATACACCTCTGAAATGTTGCAGGTGCATTACACAAACCAAAAGGCATGCATCTGTAGGAAAATGTGCCATATGCACAAGTGAAAGTAGTCTTTTCTTGATCATTTGGGTGGATAGGGATTTGGAAAAATCCGCTATACCCATCAAAGAAACAGTAGTATGGATGATTGGCTAATCGTTCTAACATTTGATCAATGAAAGGAAGCGGGAAATGATCTTTCCTAGATGCAGCATTCAGTTTTTTTGTAATCAATGCACATCCTATGGCCAGTGATAGTCCTAGTGGGGATCAATTCATCTTTTTCATTTTTTATCACTGTAATTCCTCCTTTCTTAGGTACGCAATGCACTGGGATACCCAAGTACTATCAGAGATAGGATAGATAACCCCAGCATTCAACAGTTTAAGAATTTCTTTTTTCACAACTTCCTTAAGGTTAGGATTCAATCTCCTCTGAGGTTCAATACTAGAGTATGATTCATTTTCCAGATTGATCCTATGCATGCAGAGACTAGGTGAGATCCCCTTGATATCATCTAAGGAATAACCTATGGCTCTTCTATATTTTCTAAGCTCGGTGACTAGCAACTCTAATTCCTCATTACTCAAACTAGCATTTACAATGACAGGATAAGTAGAGTTAAATCCAAGGAATACATACCTCAGTCCTGAGGGTAGCGGTTTGAGATCAACCTTGGGAGCTTTTAACTCTGATCAGTCATAATTAGCCGCATTGATAGGATCAACAGCTGGGTGAGTGATCGGGCTGCCACTGACTTCTTCCTCTACTGAGCATACCTCCTTGACAGACTTGTCCAATTCTTCAAAACGTTCTGAATCATCAATTGCCTTTTGGGTATCCAGTAATGTTTCGTAGACCTTCGTCTCAGCATGAAGAAATCCATCTGATCCATTCTTTGTCAAAGCTGTCTTGAGATGATCCTCCTCAACAAGTTTCTTCTAAAAGTTCATCAGCTAGCTGATCCATCTCCTCTATCCAGAACACCTTGCCATCGATTGTTGGTTTCTTCATAGATTCCTTGATGTCAAATGTCGTCTTGAAATCTTCTCCCAAGCATAGGTCTATCTTTCCCTTATTAACATCAATGATAGCTCCAGTAATGGCTAGGAATGGTCTTCCAAGAATCAGGGGATCCTTAGGCTCTTCATCCATTTCTAAAACAACAAAATCTGTAGGGACTTCAACAACACCAATCCTTATTAGTAAGTCTTCCAAGAGTCCATGCGGGAGCCTCACTGATCTATCAGCTAGAATGAGAGATATGTTGCCTATCTTGTATCTTGTGAATCCTAAACGCTTAGCCACAGACAACGGCATCAGACTCACTGAAGCTCCAAGATCACATAGGCATCTGCAGAAAGATAGGGGGCCTAGTGAGCAGGGTAGAGTGAAAGATCCAGGATCCTTAAGCTTCAAGGGGGTGATCTTCTTTTGGATAATGGCACTGCATTCGTGACTCAATATCACCATGCCCTGGACTTCTTTTGTTCTCTTCATAACCAAATATTTGAGGAACTTCTAATAAGGACGGACAAGTGCTAATGCATCCAGCAATGGCATTATTAATTCAATCTCTCTCACTTGCTTTTCAAATAAAGCCTTATACTTCTCAGCTTGCTGCTTTTTGAATCGTCCTGGAAATGGTAGAGGTGGTTTGTATGGTCGGGGAACGTATCTCGCAGGCTTATCCTTAGATACTGCAGGTGTTTCAGCATGTTTCTCATCAGGTTGAGGAGCTTTTTCAGGTATGACTTCTGATTCTTCCAAAGGAACAACCGGATCTTCATTCTAACATACATCCTCCCCTTCCAAGTCTTCACTGTCCTCAGTGGCTACAACAGGTCCTTGTCTGGGAGGCAAGTTTTTACCGCTCATCAGCGTGATGGCATGAGCAAACTCCTTAGGATTCTGAACAGCTTTTCTTGTGAGTTGGCCAGGCTTGGGGGCAGAAGTAGAAGCAGTTTTGCCCTCCATATACTTGATCTTAGAATTTAGAGTCTCAATCTTCATGTTCAGATCATTGTATGAGCAGTCCAATCTCTGAGTCAGCTCAGCAAACTTCTTAGCATTTTCCATGGAGCCATTTGCTTGTCCCTGTAGGAGTTGCTGAAACATGCTTTTCATGTCATGGTCTGGTGCCTGAGGAGGCGGAGCGTGTTGAGGTTGGAATCCTGGTGGTGGTCCTGCTGTAGGTTGGTAACCTTGCTGAAATTGTTTATTTGGGCACATAACCTTGGTTGTAGGGCACAAATGGTTTGTTCTGCCCTTGCTGCTGCTGCTGTGGAGGTGGATAAAACTGATCCTGGAGATTTGCAACATTGGTGCTCCTATAAGACATATTGGGATTCTGCTTGTAGGGGTTGTATCCCTTGTTGTATCCACCTTGATTCTGGACATAACTTATCTCCTCAGATTGTTCGCCCTCCCCATCAAGAATCTGGTAAGGATCGTCTTCAGAGACGAAATGAATGTTCCTCTGCTGGCTCATCAAGAGTTTGTCCAGCTTATCATTAACATCTTTCATCTCCTTCTTGTACTTCTCATCAAGATCTGTGCTTGCCCTGATGGTTCTATCGTAGTCTTCATTGTAGTTGCCATCAGACTGGGATAGGTTCTCAACAAGCTCCCAACCATCATTGACGTCCTTGTTCAGAAAGTTGCCATTGCTGGCAGTGTCAAGTAACATCCGGATCTTTGGGAGAACGCCCCGGTATAGAGTACTGAGGAGAGACTCCTTGGTGAAGCCATGGTAGGGGCATTGAGACTGATAACTTTTGAAGCGCTCCCAGGCTTCACAAAGCGTTTCTCCATTCTTCTGAGTGAACCCAGAGATCTCGTTGCGCAGACGTGCAGTTATGGAGTTGGAGAAAAACTTGGCAAGAAACGATTGCTTGCATTGATCCCAGGATGTGATAGATCCTGGAGGAAGATTTTTCTCCCATTGATGAGCTTTGTCACCCAGAGAGAATGGAAAGAGACGTAAATTGAAACCGTCCTCACTGACCCCATTGATCTTGGTGAGACTGCAGAGACGATCAAATTCATCGAGGTGATCCAGGGGGTCTTGCATAGGCAGACCATGAAATTTATTCTGCTGGATCATGGAGATCAGACCACTTTTGATCTTCAAAGTTGTTGTTCTACACGGCTGGAGGCACAATACCCTGACGATGGGTATGGTTGCGTGGAGCATCACCAGCTCCAATCCGTGTAGGTGCCCGTGGAGGAGGTGGTTGTTCATGGTTTTCCATCTCGACTTGTTGTGGCGTAACTCTATTGCGTTGCTGTCTTGATGCAGGTACCAAGCGATCAATATGGTCAGAGGGCTGGAGCAAGTTCTCTGTGCCTTGCGACCGTGTGTGCATACAACTCAAATGAACTTAGCTCGCGAGACGGTTGAGTGTGTCGGTCGAGTAGGAGCAGTTAAGCAAGAGTAGTACCTGAATCAATAGACAAGTAGAAAGAACAGAGTGAGTAACTATAGTGAATGTTGAGTAACAACTTGATCTTAGCAAGTCTGAAATCTCAAATGTAACAAACAAACACCCAAATGGCAGCGGTGCTAAATTGATACTAGGATTTTCTATCAATTACCCTAGAGTACTATCATGTCATTGCAGTACAATAGGTATCAATCCAATCAGGTGTGATGCTAGCAATCAAGATGTATCAGAAATGATTAAGTCAAGCAAGCATAAATGATTTTTGGTTTTCAGTGATCCTAAGCGAACATGCTAAACATGCGATAAATGTAAGGTTGTAAAACATAAACTACCATGCATAAGCTAAAACGTAACGATTATTAATACTGGCAAGAAAACAAAGCAGAACAAGTAAATAACAGATGAATTAAACAGAAAGCACAAATGGATAGAAGATCCCGAGGATGAGGTAATTGATGTAGGTGGAGTATGCTAATCTACTTCGAATGTTTATCAAACTGCAAACATTCTAATACCTAGACAATGAACTTCTAATACTAGTCAATCCAATCTCTTAGCAGAAACTATCAAGTTTACAACACTTCTTAATCTCAATTCTCATTGATGAAACATGTAGTAAACAGGCATAAAGAAACAGCTCATTAATGTCAATAAACATCTTAAACAACCAATCTCTTGGGCTAAGCATGTAAATCTCTGACACTAGTTGGTTCAGACATTTCATCATATACCTTTCGGGTATGAAATGTCTATGACCTAGTTCCAATTGATCAGAGAAGAACTAGCTAATAAAACTCTAATACAGAAGGGAAACAAAACGAATCTAACATAAACACTCTAGCAAACTAACATCCTCCACCTAATCTATCCCATCCTCAAGAACCCTAACACTACTCAGACGCAGAAATCATGTTAAACATCATGAAACACGAATCGTTCAAAAAATGCATAATAATAAAGATGACAGGAAGAGTAACAACAATGATTCAAGAACTGATTGCAAAATATCAATAACTCAACAGAAATCACGATTATAATTCTCAGGATCGTTTGGTGGCTGACAACAAAAACCTAAAGTAAAAACTCGATTCCCTGGGCAATCCAAATGAGACCTATTTATAACAATGTTTGGGAAAACCTTAAAACATAAAACGACAACGTAAAAGCGGTTCAAAAGTTGTTGTGACTAAGTTGGTCGAGTGAGTATCTCGAGTGAGCATCTCGAGTGAGGGTCTTCTCTGCTTTGCTCGATCGTGTCACTCGAGTGTGCTCGTCGAGTGACAGTTGTTTCGCATTCCTTCGGTTCACTCAATCCTCCGACTCGATCAACCGCTCGATGCGCTACTCGATCACCTCCATCGAGTGAAGTATGTTCCTGCAACGCATCCTTGCTTCTCACGCGATCGTCCCACTCGATTGTACCTGAAACACTTCAAATATGTCTCCTAAGTACCTGAAACACTTCAAATATGCAGAATGTATGCAAGACATGTATGATATGCATAAAATCTACCTAAGTATGTAAAACATGCAGAAAGGGATCAATATAATGCGAATCAACAAGTGAATGATGCTGAAAATATGATGAATGCATGCTCAAAAAGTAATGAAATACAGACTTATAAGTTTCCCCAAAAACTTCCTTTGATTACTTATAATAAAGTTTACAAAACAAGTTTACCAAAGCTTTTTAAAATTTGGATCCATCGGGAAAATAATACATAATAAGAAAAGTAATATTTTTGCAAAAATATGAAAAATATCCTATCTCCGGCTCCTAATATTTGTTACGGTCTAGACTCTTTAAGAATAAACTTGCAAAACAAAATGAGTTTTGAGTATTCTAATAATACTCAGTGAGCCGGATACCCCCAAATCTATCATGCAATTTCCCCCCAAACCCCAAAATAAACAAGCAATAATCAGACAAGCGATAGCGGAAGCATAGAAATCGAACAAGCAAGACGAGCAAAACAAGCAAGACAACTAATACCCGACTAGCCTAAAACAAGACTCGACTTAATTCTAGACTCGCTAGACTCCTCCCTATCCTATCGATAATCTGATCCGTTCCTTCATCGTTTTCTTTACTTAAAAAATCACTCGAGATGAAACTACGAAGGCATTCAGTCCGGAGGATACATCTGGTTGCAGAGCTAGGATCCAAGCATCCTGGTCAAGACCTGAGAAACCACAAAGGTTACCTCTTCGAGACCCATTCACCAGCGTCAAGGAAACAGATTATCGAACCTAAGAATCAAATCTACAGATCTGAAACTAAGGACTTTCTAAAAGCAAGAAATTTTACACAAAGAAGATCAGTACTAGAAGAGATAACATCCAGCTAGCAAGCAAGCGAAACAAGCAATCATCAAGCAACAAGCAAGCAAAGCAAAGCAAACAATCAACCAAATGTGATCCTAATCTAGGTGATAGTTCTCGGTGATTATTAAGAAACTAGCCTAGCCGGATTAACATGCGGGTTCATTTTAGTTGGTCATATTAGCAAGCACTATCTTGTAATTTAGCCGGATTGTTTAAGCATGCGGGTTCATTTTTGCAGAAATTTAAAGCTATCATGCAAGTTCTACAAAAAGAAAAGGCAAGCAAAACACGCAATAGGTACGTACACAAGTTTGAAGACTTAGACAGCACCCCACAAAATTTGTATCCAACTCACAGTGTTTTTATCGACGATTTCATTCTTCTCTCACCGAGGCAGGCACAAGAGGTCTTCTTCTTCTCGGATCTACTTCCGGCAACGGACTTCTTGATTCTGGCAACAAGTTTCTCGATCCTTCGGCAGCAACAATCGATCGGAGGGGCAAGTTTCTCGAACAAAACTTTCAAGAACGAGAGAGAATTTCTTTAGAGGGAAAGACTTGTGTCGTTTGGGCTAACGAACACAAGTGACGCTTCACTGCCTCTATTTATAGAGTTTAGCTTCGGAAAAATAGCTAGGTTTGGAAATCGCATGCATTCGCCAGGTGTAGGTTCGGGTTAGGTGAAACAAGCCATCTCTAGCTGTCGGACACGTGGCAGCCGTGGAGAAGAAAAAGGATTCTGTCTGTTTGCATCCATTGAATCTTCTCCCATATCTTCGCAAGATATTTTCTCGGATTTTCTCTGGCTTTTCTTGTCAGAATTTGCCATGTGGCAAGGCTGTCTAGTGAATGGGTTCACTGAACAAACACAAAAATCGGATTTCTTGATATTTTTTGAGATTTTCTCGATCACGATCAGACATCTTAGTACTTAAAGAGATTTCTTTGGCAAACTTGGCATTCCTTCGACAAACTCTCTTCAAAACTTCTTATCAATAGTTGAACATTAAGATTTTAGTTCGGCTCGGCTTCGATCGTCACTCTTTCAATTTGGTCTCGACCGGCTGTCGTCGCGGATCGACAGGCTCGACCATCTTCGACATTTCTTCGTTATTTTGGCAATCCTTCTCGACAAAACTTCATACTTAGTCATTTTAAGACTTTGGGTCGAGATACTTTGCGTCACATTTGGGTCAAATCTTCATGTGGTCGATAACGCACTTCTCCGGCTACATTCCTTCGTATTTTGCTCGACCAAACTTCGTTTCCTTCGATAAGTTTTCAATAGATCGTCGTTTTTACTTCTTCTAAGTTTTTCGGAGTTCTTTTCTCACCCGTTCATCGGTGATTTTTCATTCGGCCACTAGGTCAGGGTGAGGGTCACTACATCAACCACCTGGCAGACTTGCTTGTGATGCCAATGGAGATATTCGAGGTCATTCTTGGGATGGATTGGTTATCGGGATACCAAGCCCATCTCGACTGCAGCCACAGTAGAGTGATAATGGAGAACAAAGGACGGACTCCTTTGATATACTATGGAATCGTTTTGGCCTTGAGGGTTCGACATCTGTTGGAAGAAGGAGTAGTCTATCTCGTTACTCTTACGACTGTTGGAGATGATGTCGATGGAGATCTAAAGATCGAAGATATAGCAGTGGTCATGAAATTTGAAGATTTGTTTGCACCCTTAGAAGGATTGCCTCCGTCGAGAAGTCATCCTTTTACGATTAATCTCAAACTAGGTGCAACACCAATTGCGAAAACTGCCTACCAAATGGCCCCTGCCGAGCTTTTGGAGTTAAAGAAACAACTCGAAGATTTAACTGAGAAAGGATTCATCCGATCAAGTTCATTATCATGGGGAGCTCCGGTGCTATTCATCAAGAAAAAGGATGGAAGCATGCGGTTATGTATTGATTACCGAGGTATCAATAACATAACCATAAAAGACAAGTACTCGATGCCACGCATAGACGAGCTATTGGATCAGCTACGAGGAGCAAGCTGGTTCTCAAAGATTAATCTAGCTTCTCGGTATCATCAGATTTCGATCTCGGAACCGGAAGTTATGAAGACTGCCTTCCGGACGCGTTATGGACAGTTTGAGTTCGTCGTCATGCCCTTCGGACTCACCAACCCCCAGAAGCCTTCATGATATTAATGAATGAGGTATTCCACGATTACTTGGATAGCTTCGTTATAATTTTTAAAGATGATATCCTCGTATACTCGCGGAGTGCCGAAGAACATCAAGAACACTTAAAAAAGGTTTTGCAACGTTTGAGAGATCATAAATTATTTGCCAAGTTCAGTAAGTGCAAGTTCTAGCAAAAGGAAATCGGATTCCTCGGCCATCGAGTTTTGGATAAAGGAGTATCAGCCAATACAGAAAAAGTTCCTGCTATCCGTGATTGGCCAAGGCCAACAACGGTAACTGAAGTCAGAAGTTTCCTAGGCTTAGCCAGATATTA